GGAATGTAATTCCTCAACTGATTGTTACCTTATTAAGGCAATCAGAGAGTTCATTCAAAGTAGGAAGAGAAGACAAGTACTGGGAGTTGTCTGGTGTGTGAAACAGTGGCAAATGAGCCTCCTATTTATAGTTTTTCGCAGCCTGGCAATTTGGGACGACCATCTGGGTTGGGACGGCCGTCTGGGTTGGGACGACCGTCCCACTTGAATTTTTTACCTTTGGGTCCACCCCTTGAAGTGTGGGACGGGCAGTCTCACTTGGGACGGTCGTCCCACTTGGCCAGGGTAGCTTGGGACGGCCGTCTCACATTTGGGACGGCTGTCTCAACTTGTCTTGGTCAGCCTTTGTGTTCTGGGACCCCCGGGAAGCTTTCCTTTCTTTATTCGGACGTCGGTTGATGCCGATAGACGCCCGTTGAAGCTTTATCTTCATATAGGAAGTCTTCTTTGGCCTTTTATTGAGATGCCAGGCGAGCTTTATCTTTTATAGGAAGTCTCATTAGCCTTTATTGAGAGACCAGACAAAATTAGGGGTCTACAACTATCATGTATCATATTAGGAATAAAACATGATAATACTTAGAAAAACAAACACTTGCATGCATGCATTTACAAGGACTCATCCTCATATCATGCATTTTCATTTCTTTTAGATAATGGAGGGATCCAGTAATAGACAGTTAAAGAAAGTGGAAATCCTTCTATGTCGTGTAGAGAAGTTAAGGCAGTTGTGTACATATATGCCGCCGGAGGTCAGTGCTAATTTTGAGAAATCTTATGGAAGGATTCTTGACCTCCTGAAAATCAGCATTGATCCTATCTTTGTTAGAGAATTGGTCCACTTTTGGAATCTCGACCTGCACTGCTTTGAGTTTTCGCAGTTCGATTTAGTACCAACCTTAGAAGAATATGAACTCATGGTTAGATGGCCTCAGTCAGTTGGGGTCTATGTCTGCTCAGGAGTATATGTTGTCGTGAATAAGGTTGCTACTATTATACGATTGCCTCCTCATCAATCCATCCTAGAGGGAAAAGGGAACATCCGAGGTTGGAAAATGTCAATAATAGAAGACCACTTAATCTCTTTGGTTGAAAAGAAAGATTGGTCAACCTTCAACAAAACTCTAGCATTGGCAATGTTCGGAATCATATTATTCCCATTTCATGTGAACGTTGTGGATCATGCTGCAATAGATGCATTCTTTGCCTGGGATGTATACTCTAAGAGTCCTATACCTGCAATTCTCGCCGATACCCTGCTTTTAGTAGATTTTTGCCGACAGAAATAGGGGAAAACACTTAGATGTTGTACTTCATTACTATATGTATGGGGCATTACTCATTTCTACGCTTCAAGCTACATGGGCATATTCCCTAATCCTTTAAGGAGCTTTTCGAAAATCCCTCTTCAACATCATCAAGCTTTAGAATGGAAAACCGAGTTAGAAAACTGGAAAATAGAGCACGTATCATGGGTTTGCCCTTGGTTCCAAGCCGGTTATATTCTTATACGATGCGGAGATTACCTGAGCATACCACTACTAGGCCTCAGGGGGTTGTGTAGTTTACTCTCCCAAGATGGCTATGAGACAACTAATGAGAACCCAGACTGTGCCAACTCAAGAAGAGCTCAGAGGGCTGAGTCTATGCCATTACTCCCATAACTTCGAAGAAGTATTCGCTGTCCGGAAAGCATGGGAAAGACCAGTCTATATAGGAGATAAAGAACTCAGAAAGGTTCAGGTGTCCACGTCCCATGAATATGAATAATGGAGGAAAAGTAGAAGGATAACCCAACCATCTGCTACATTCACTACAACATTAGTTAATGAAGAGCTACAATTGCAGGTCAATGCCTTAAATAAAAGGGTATAAGTAATGGAAGCTCAGTTGAGGGCTCTTGAAGAGAAAGAACAAGAGTCAACCCTTATAATAGATGGTTTAAAAAGGCAATGTAAAAAGAAGGACCAAGAAATAGAGTGCCTTAAGAATGATTGTGCTGATTACCAAGAAGAAACTAAACAAGCATTAAAAATTCCGAAGTTTGAATAAGATAGTCTGTTCCGGGACATGAATGATGACATAGCACATCTTGAGAGTGCGCTTGCAGAACAGGCAAGAACGATCAAGTTAATAGAAGATGACCTAGCAGAAACTCGGTCAAAAGCACAAAAATGGTGGGAAACCGCTGAAAGATATAGAGAAAACCTAGATGAGCTACATGATAAAGAAAGAGATGGATTAGCTCAATATGGTCAATTACTTCGTGAAACGCTCAAAAATCATGTGAGATTAGCTAAAGATGAATTGCGAAGAAAGCCTAATTTACTTATAGGATTCTTCAAGCTTCTCCGTTTTTGTCAACACTTACTTCAAAGCATTGTATAGAAGGATGAACACTTTCTAGATAAAATAAAAAAGGATTATCCTTAAATTGTCTATTGCATTCATAAGTTGCATACATTCATACATCCCTCCTCATTTTAATAATAAAGATAATAAAAAGAAAGGATTAATTGATGTGCTTTCCACAAATCAGAATAAATGGAAAAGAAGTCTTTCGTCATCAAAATCTCTACAACGATCGATAGACCCAAAGATGATAACAAACAAGCACCGTTGGTCATTCCAATCGATAAAAGGAAAGAGGCAATAACGCCTTTACGTTTATTCATGCCTCGTCCTTTCCCTTATTCATCAAATAAAGTTGTACCTTGGAGATACTCAGAAGAATCACCAGTCAATCAAGATATCTCCAACATAGCCGATATTGGGGGCATGACTAGAAGCGGAAGAATATACTCCCCCAAGGAATTAGAAGATAATATTCCTAAAGATAAAGAAAAAAATAAGGCCGAAGAGGAAAAAGAATCCAAGGAGGAGACAGATGAGTTACTCCAGTACATAAGACAAAGTGAGTACTCCATCATTGATCAACTCAACCGCACTCCTGCAAAGATAACTTTGTTATCACTTATAATGAGTTTGGAGCCGCACTAAAACGCAATGTTAAAGGTTTTGAATGAATCATTCATTCCGCATGCAATATCCCAAGACAAATTTGAAGGAATCATTGGTAACATTACAGCCAATGATCATCTTACCTTCACAAATGAAAAACTCCCTTTAGAAGGGTAAAATCACAACAAGCCCTTGCATATTTCGGTTAAATGCAAGGAATATCTCATTTCCAAAGTTCTTGTGGATAATGGGTCATCCTTAAACGTTATGCCTAAATGCACACTCGACAAGATAACAGTGCAAGGAACCCACATGCGCCAGAGTAACACAATTGTTCGAGCCTTTTATGGATCAAGACGTGAAGTAGTAGGAGAGATTAGTCTACCAATCCAAATTGGCCCTACTATTTTTAACATAGACTTCCACGTTATGGATATCACACCAGCATATAGTTGTCTCCTTGGTAGACCTTGGATTCATAGCGCTAAGGCAATACCTTCAACGCTCCACCAGAAAGTCAAGTTTGTGACAAATGATAAACTCGTCACAGTTCAAGCTGAAGAAGACTTTCTAATCAGCAAATCGTCTGTCCAACCATATGTGGATGCAGTTGAAGAGGCCCTTGAAACACCTTTTCAAGCGCTCGAAATTGCCAACATAGAAAGACTTCCTAGTAATACAAAGATGGCCCATATGATGAAAAGATATGGATATCGCCCAGGACAGGGGCTCGGAAAGAATGCTCAAGGAATAAAAGAGCCACCAGATTTCAAAGATAATCCTTTAAAGTATGGTTTAGGGTACGACCCTACAAAAGATCAAACCATACAGAAAACAGGGAAGTCTTACCCCTCAAAGACGATATTCCAAAAAGGAGGGGTATTAGCGCAAAGGGTAGCGTTAGTCATTAGGTGTCTTTCTTCCAATTCTAAGGGATGTAAACCTAATGACTATTAAAGATCACTCCTCGGGGTATGCTCGGCCCCCGAGCATCTCTAGGGCACACATTTCTCCGAAATTACAAAAGAATGATATTCTTACTATCTGCTTCTTTTCTTGCAAAATATGTCTATACCCCGTCTTAAATAAACAATGTTTAGATAGACGTTTTGTTCCAAATGCGTCAAAACAATCAAAGCGTCATAAAGCAAAGTCAAATGCAATTGATTAACTAGAAACACGAAAAAAATTCATCTCAATAGAACCAAGTTTTGACAATTTTGTGAAAAAAAAAATACATATAAAAAAAAAGCCCATCAAGGCCAAAGGCCAAGACAAGAAAATAAAAGGGCAAAATACCCGGTAGGAAACCCACAAAGGGGGCTGCACAAAAGTTAGGGTTAACCCGGCAGGAAACCCGAACAATAATAAAGGGTAGCCTGAGCAAAAGTTAGGGTTACGAAAAGTCCGCTAGGTATTCCTAAAAATAATACAAAAAGGAAAGCCTAGACAAAAGTTAGGACACAAGCACAACATCCTGGACTGAAAACCTGAAAGGGCGGGCTAGGAAAGTTAATCAATCACAAAAAGGCACCACAAAGCAGTAAATAAAGACGCCACATCATAAGAGCAAAATGTTTGTCTAAACTAGCCTAAACACCGACCAACCTTGGCTAGCCATTCTTACAGAAACTTCTATTACAAAAAATATATCACTCTAAAACACAAGCCTTTGTTATAAATCCTTTTCTTTCTCTTCTCTTGACCATTTCACTATAAAGCATTCAAGTAACAAGGAGGAATGTGGAAACATAGTGATCAATAGGAAGGTTGAAATCCCTAAGAAAAGAAAGAGGGGCATTGATATGGCAGTTTCCCTACGCACAAAAGATTACTCTTCGGCTATAGCAAGAAAAGTCTGATACGACAAATAAGTATAACTAAGCTTGTTGATCAAGAAACAGGATGACAGAAGGGTACATCACTAAGAATGTGCCCGAAGTCAAAGCACATCAATTAAAACTTTCAAAATATTAACTAAAATAGATCATAGGACGCATATCATGAAACATTACATGCATTAAAACATCAATGAATAGAGTCCTATCTTCCTTCTCATCAAAAAACATGAAAACCAACTTGAAAAGCTCGAGACAGTCGTCCCAAGGGTCGAGACGGCCATCCCCAACAGCCAAATTCAAGTGGGACGCCCGTCCTACATATGAGACGCCCGTCTCAGGGCCAAATTTTGAGTGAGACGGCCGTCCCACTCCCCAGACGGCCGTTCCAAGGGTAAAAATTCAAGTGAGACGGCCGTCCGAACCCAGATGGTCGTCCCGACCCTCCTAGCTCCTCCTATAAATGTTAGGTGCGGATCCTTGCATTTGTACCCCATTCCAAGCATTCTATCTTGCTTCTCCTCCCTTTCTACACACTTCTAGCATTCTTAAGTGAGTAAGGTGTTGAACATTCAAGGACTTGATGTTGCACTTGATGAACATGAAGATTATTGATTTTGATGATGATTCAAGAACTCAAAGACTTAGAGTGTTGAAGACTTGTTTTGTATTGTAATAACTCTGTTTCAATTAGATTGAGTCTGTAATATTAGAGTTTAAGATAGCCGGTACATAGTCTGCACCTTAGAAGCTTCAAAAAGCTCAAATTTATCATCCAGGCTCGGCTTTAATCGATTAAATAGGGAAATAATCGATTAAATCAGTGATAAAAACCATTTTCTGTATCTGCTCACTGGTTTAATCGATTAAACCACCTGTTAATCGATTAACAGGCCTGTTAATCGATTAACAACCCTTTTAATCGATTAAAACAGAGAGTTTTAGGGTTCTGTTGATTTTGGCTCTGTAATAATCGATTAATACTTCATTTAATCGATTATTTCAGTCAGATTTTGATTTTTAACTTCAAATCAACCCTATTTTCGAAAACCATATTTCCAAGAACCCTAATTCTGAAATTCCCAATTCCCAAACCCTAATTTCTCTACTTAAGCTTCTCTATGGCACTCAGAAAAAAAGAACAACCTTTTTCATACAAAAGTTAAGTGCTGTAGTGCCAGAGAACTGTTTGTTGCAAGAAAAAGGGGCTTTTGGAACCTGGTGTGGGCTAGAAACGATAAGAATCACTAAGTGGAGTTCTTAGTGGATTGTGTGTTGTGCCGTCTCTAGGGAAAACTGTTCTTCATCTCTTGTGGATTTCAAGAGAGGTGTTTTCTTATCTTTATCTTTTCAATTGTAATTTGTTTGTAACAACTTGATTATAATGATAGCGTTAATCCTCTGTTTGAGTGATTAGCAACTGGACGTAGGGTATTTTGATCCGAACCAGTATAAATTTCCTGTGTAAGATTCTCTTCTCTTCTCTATTTACATTTACACAGTTTTTAATCGGTAAAATTTGGGGAAAATTTTGAAAACCTAATTTTTATTAAGAAACCAATTCACCCCCCTCTTGGTTTTTGTCCGACCACGCGAACATTCCGTTGCGCGATTCTAACAAGTGGTATCAGAGCTTGCTTTGATAGTCATTCAAACTTTTCGAAAATGACCGGACAAAATCAAAATTTTGCCGAAGGTGCGTCTATCAACAGACCCCCACTTTTTGCGGGTCAAAATTATCCTTTTTGGAAGGTAAGAATGCAAATCTTTTTAGAGTCTGTTGATAGAGGCGTCTGGTATGCTATTTTAAACGGTCCATATATTCCTAAAGTTACTGAGAACGGTGTTGACGTTCCTAAACCTTTTTCTAGATGGACTGCAGAAGAAAACAGAAAAGCACAATTTGACGTTAGGACTAGAAATATAATTTCATCTGCTCTAACCCTTGACGAGTTTTAAAGGATTTCTGTTTGTAAAAGTGCCCAGGAAATGTTGGAAATACTTAGAGTGACCCACGAAGGTACTGACAACGTCAAGAGAGCACGTAAAAACTCCTTAATCCAAGAATACGAGATGTTCCGGATGCAACAAGGCGAAACGATTTTTGACATTCAAAAGCGTTTCACTCATATTGTGAATCATCTCACCGGATTAGGTAAAATATTTGACGTTGATGAATTAAATGTTAAAAGTTTAAAATCTTTGGATAGGAAATGGCAACCTAAGGTGACGGCCATCTCAGAGTCACAAAACCTTGCCACAATGTCAATGGCGGCGCTATTCGGAAAGCTAAGAGAGCATGACCTTGAGCTTGGGAGGCTAAACGATGAAGAAGGGAAATATCAAAAGAAGAATTTAGCCTTCAAAACTGAAATTTCCAAAAGTAAAAATAAGAAGGAAGAAGAAGACTCGGAAAATGAAGAAGAAGAGTTGAGTCTTATGATAAAGAAGTTCACCAAATTCATGAAAGCTAAAGGAAGGCATCCTTTCAAAGGTAAGGGAAAGATAAGAGAAAGTACTTTCGTTAATATAAAATGTTATGGTTGTGGTGAAGCAGGGCATGTAAAGACCGAATGCCCAAACAAGAAAAACGATGAAAACAAAGGCAAAAAGGTCTTCAAGAAGAAAGATTATATTGCTTGGGACAACAGTGATTCAAGTTTGGAATCAAGTGACTCGGAAGTAGAAGCAAATATTTGTTTATTGGCAAATGACATCATTTCTTCCGACTTTGAGGTAAGTGATTCCGACTCATCTTCAAGTGATGATGAAAATAATTATGATGAACTACAAAATGCATATAATGAATTGTTTAGTGCCTTTAAGGACTTGAAAAATGAATATAAAGTTGTGAAAAATAGTTTAAGTAGATCCGAAAAGGAGGTAGAGTCCTTAAAAACGAAAATTGCATGTTTAGAGGAAAAGGAATCCTTAGAAACGAAAATTGTATGTTTAGATGAGAATGATGATAAGAACTTAGCATGTGCAACTTGTAAAGAGTATGAATATGACATAGATATCCTTAACCATCTACTTGATAAAGCCGAAAAGGAGATAAGTGATTTTAAGAAGGATAAAACTATTTTTGCTCAAAATAGTGTAAATTGTCAAGTTCCTTTGAAAAAGCCTAAAAGGAAAAATAAAAGAGTATGGGTAGAAAAAGGAACTAGAACATCTATGGTTAAAGATTCATCATATTCAAAAGTTACATCAAATGCATGTTTTTATTGTATGAAACATGGTCATACCTCAAATAGATGTAAAATTAAACATTTTGGTGTTCCTAAAGGAAAATATATTTGGGTGAATTGTTTGTCTCTTGTATTTATTCAAAGAAAATTGATCATTTAGTATGTTTTAAATAGAATGCTCATTAGGTCAATTATAAAATCAACTCCCTATGAATTATTAAATGGTAGAAAGCCTAATGTTGCTCATTTGAAAATTTTTGGATGTAAGTGCTTTGTGTTAAATAATGGAAAGGACAACTTAGGAAAATTTGACTCAAAAGCTGATGAGGGCATTTTCTTAGGTTATTCATTAACTAGCAAGGCTTACAGGGTGTTTAATAGAAGAACCTTAAATATTGAAGAATCTATTCATGTTACTTTTGATGAAATTGTAGACCTTGGGGGAAATCCTCTTGAGTCAAATAAAGAACTTGCAGGTGATGATGAGTATATAAGAGAAGCTCTTGATGAATTATATTTGGAAGAAAATGAGCCTTCTCAAACGCCTGAATTAGCAAAAGAATGGCAATCACCAAGAGGACTCTCAATGGACAATATCATTGGTGATATCTCAAAAGGGGTAAGAATTAGAAATATGACTAATTTCTGTATGTTTGTAGCATTTGTGTCACAGATAGAACCCAAAAATGTTGAGGAAGCGCTTAAAGATGACCAATGGTGCATAGCTATGCAAGAGGAACTTAACCAATTTGAAAGGAATCAAGTCTGGAAATTAATCCCAAGAGAAGAATCACATCAAGTTATTGGAACCAAATGGGTGTTTAGAAACAAACTTGATGAAGATGGGAACATAACAAAGAATAAAGCCAGACTTGTTGCCAAAGGCTATTGTCAGGAGGAAGAATTTGCTAAGATAATGCAGGGAGAGTTTGAAATGTCTATGATGGGAGAATTGACATTCTTCCTTGGACTACAAATCAAGCAACTTAAAGATGGCATTTTCATCTCTCAAACCAAATACTGCAAAGAGATACTTAAAAAGTTTGGAATGGACACCTCAAACGAAGCTAACACAACCATGGGAACTTCATGTTATCTAGACAAGGATGAATCAGGTTTGGAAGTTAATCAATCTATGTATAGAGGTATGATAGGTTCACTATTATACTTAACTGCAAGTAGACCTGATATTATGCATTCTTTCTGTGTGTGTGCTAGATTTCAGGCTTGTCCTAAAGAATCTCACCTAATTGCAGTAAAACACATTTTAAAATATTTAAAAGGAACTATTGGTTTTGGTTTATGGTATCCTTCTGATGCTTGTACTAGTTTAATAGGATATTCTGATGCTGATTATGGTGGATGCAAAATTGATAGGAAAAGTACTAGTGGGACATGTCATTTGTTAGGTTCATCCTTAGTATCTTGGCATTCTAAGAAACAAGCTTGTGTTGCTTTATCTACCACTGAAGCTGAATATATTGCAGCTGGTAGTTGTTGTGCTCAAGTTTTGTGGATGAAACAATAGTTAGAAGATTATAGTATATTTTTAAATGACATACCTTTGATGTGTGATAATACGAGTGCAATTAATCTTACTAAGAATCCAGTAATGCACTCTAGGACTAAGCACATAGAAATTAGACATCACTTTTTGAGAGATCATATCAGCAAAGGAAACTGTAAAATAGAGTATGTTGATACAAAGCATCAATTAGCAGATATTTTTACTAAGCCTCTACCCAAGGACAGATTTTATGATCTTAGAAGAGACTTAGGGATATTAGAAATAGCTTAAAATCTGCTTATTCAGACAGTTTTTGGATGATTATTATGTTAAAATTCATTATACAGAATGTTAATAGTTTATCATGTGTTAAAACCTCAAAAAATTGAAGTTCTCTCTGAAATAAAATATGGTATTCTGTTATTGTTTTGATTGAGGGGGAGTTTTCTCTAAGTTATGCATATTTTGAGGGGGAGCTCTTATGTTTGTAATAGATGGATTATGTTTGATTCTAATCAAAATAGGGGGAGAAAATATTTAAAGCCTAAAATGATTGTTTTTAAATATTATCTGGTATGTTTAATGTGTTTGTTAGTATGACAGATAAAATAGGTTATTACAAGGCTTTAAAAGATAATTTTGATCATCATAAAAAAAGGG